CCACAAACTAAGGTTCCTTGTTAAAGTGAAAGTACATCACCAAAATTACAATAACCACGCTTGGACAGAAATCAGGTCTTTTTTGGATGGATTTGAAATTTATGTTGTTTGAAATTCTCCTAAAGGGAAAAAGGTATATTCAAATTTTCTTTTATTTGGGAGATTTAGGAAACTGAACAAGTGGTTCAAAAACATTTTTTCTTTATCCAGGAGGTAAAAAAGGTAAAGTCTGTTTACAAGCCAAGTGGTCCATCAGGCCAGTGCTTAACTCCAATTTCTGTAACATGAAGTGACTAGGAGTATTCCTACCCCCCCCCCCCTCTTCCTGAATGGGATGCTGGTTCATTGTAGGATTATCCTCCAGCACTAAATTTGCCAGTACCCATTTAAACACCTAGTAGATGAAGAGAGGCATTGGGAGAGTAAGTTGTCTTGTCTAAGAATGCTACACAATGTCCCCCACCTTGGCTCAAACCCAGACCGATAGATCCAGAGTCAAGTACTCTAACCATGAGGACACCATGCCTCCAAGAGACTCCCTCATATTGGGGGAGAGTTGACATACACATGGTGGCCACTATTAATTCTTGATATGCTTTTATATCATGATCTTATACAAGCTGCATTAAAGGAAAGCTGGTTGAAGTTAATGAAGAACTGGTCACAAAGCCACAACTCTTGTTAGAAAAGGTTTGGCACTTACAAATCTATAAATATATCAACTCATGTTAATAAAGAGAGGAGAGATTTTTTGAGAGTTCTTAATTGTGTGGTGGCAAGAATCTTAGGCTTCCTGATTGCTCCACAAACTGCCCAAGTGCATTTTTAAAACCCCTTCATCTCATTAGTATTTGTCCTTATTTTTTACAATACAATTCTTATGATGTTGGTTTGGAGAATTTGGTATTAGCTCAAATGATAAAATCTCCTTATTGATATTTTTCTCTATTCTCATCACTTGTCTGCCTAATATTGTATTTAATATTGTGTAGTAAGGACAAATTCTGCCTTGGTCACTTGTCTGTCCTACCTTGAATAACCTTGCTTTTGCCTGCTTAAAATGTGAATCAACTGTGCTCTCATTGCTCGACATTAAGTTTTCAACTTACTAGCCAAGTGGCTTTTGACAACTTAGATGTTACAACAATTTCAGTTTGTTTACTATCCAAACTGGCTAGGGGAAATTAAAAACCATTTGCCAAAACTGAATCTCTACTAGTCCGTGGCTAGTTGGCTACCATAAGTGTTGAGCCCTGACTGGAGCCCAAGTCACATTTCTTGTGCAGCAAATGAAAATGTGTAACCTCAATCTTGTCAGAGTTCATGGCCCTGATTATGCTTCCAGCATCTGAAATGTAAAATTATTGACAGAAACTTGTACATCCACACTAAAGATTTATGACAATTTGTTCTGCTTCAATTTTTTCTTATTTTGGCTTTTAGCCAGAAACTGAAGGCTACCTTGCTGTAGTCCTTCCAAAACTTACTGAGAATATTCTTGATGGACTCTTGACAAAAGAAGAATATGAACAACTTCTAGAGGACAGAGAAGGACAAAGTGGTATGAGATTAACAATTATTTATATTTTGTTGACATTTTTAGGTGAAAAAAATCATAGCTTGATTTCAAGGCCTAACCCTTTTACCTGAAGAGTGACGGGGGAGGGGAATATGCGGCGCAGTTGATTCCCATAGTAGTGAGATTTGATAGGAGCAGTGCTTATAGGCTAATCTTGGCCAGACATTCGGTTAAATAGTGAAAAATTAGCTTTTTAAACGATCAGAGATCGACTGCAAATTCTGGTGAACAAGCATTTTAAACGGGTTTCTGTGTTGTTGTGCCGGCAGGTTGTGCCAAAGCTACGGGCCTATAGTCAGCCTATGGTATCAACTTTGTGCAATTGGAATGTGTGACAGTCGGGGAAGATGGCTACAGTGGTTGTCTCGCTTTGAGTAAAAATGGTAGGATGAAGAGCAGTCGGATAGAATAACTCAAGGCGTGATGGATAAGATTGCATTCCTCAACCGGTCTTATCGACAATACGTTGATTATTCAAGAAACGATGAGTGTGAGAGAGATGTAACCTGTAATAAAGCTACAATAGAGAAGATATTTGTTATTGAAATGTTCAAAACCTTAAACGAAAGAACTCTTTGTTTCACTAACCAGTAGTTCTCTTGTTGGCATATTAATAACCATAGGTGACGTCACTGATATCTTTGCTCTAGCTTTAATTTCCTTTATTATCCGCCTTGGGTGAATAACTATTTTCATCGATCACGGGAAAATGACATCCGTCGTGTATGAATTAGCGGCTGTAAACTCGTTTTAGTGTAGAGCGGGAAAGGAATTTACCGCATTACCTCGAACAAGCCTCCTCCCCCTCCCCCCCCTCCCCCCTTTCAAAGAAGCAAAAGTGGAATCAGTGCAGGAGAGTAGTTTCTTTTCCGTTCCAGTTATTTCTGGCTTCATGGCTTGCAGAGTTCCTTTATTTTAATTTTTGTCTTATTACTGCGCTAATTCAGAAACGCCTTCTCTATTAAGCCGAAAGTTTGAATACACGTCAGGGCGCTAATTCGAGAAATTACCGTACGGTATATCCGTGCTTTTATTTAGTATTACTAATTAAAGAGTAACTGAAGAAGGGATTGAGCTTCGCGAACACGATGGGTAAAATTAAAAATTTTAACTAATTTAAACAAGAGCATCAAACTAAGCAATTGCAATCACTTACCAAGATGACTGGACATAGAAAATCTAATTCCTATCCTCCACCCCAAATAATGCTTAAGACGATTACTGACTTTAAATTTCGCAACATACGAGTAAGGTAAATAAAACCAGTGATTTACAAACGATGGGCGTGTTTTTTGTTTTATTTTTGTACTTTTAATAGCCCACCGAAACCATCACAATAAACTGTTTCTCTTTTTAATCTAAAAAAAATTTTCAATTTTCACGCAAACTGGACTTCGATGAGTTTTTTTTTAGATCAATACACGTTGTTGTATGGCTTTCAAATGACAGAAAAGCTTCGGTAACCACTGTATTTAGCGTACCTTTAGCTTCCGGTGGCAATTAATTGTTATGTTTATTATCTTGGGCACTGTTTTAAAGCTTTCACTCGTTTGCTACATTGATATCTCGTAAAACAGAGACGGTGATGGTTACGGCTGGTGACGAGAATGAACTCCTATTCAAGTTGCATTTCGTATACTTCTCAAAACAGTGCCACAGTAAAAAGGCCAAAATAAGTTGTCCACAGTAAATAGGGGAGTCGAGGGTTTCAATGACCGAAAGAAGAGGCAAGGAATTCAAACTCTGTCTAGGCCGTGCCTAATCTCTTCTCTCCACTGAAGCTCCCTTCATTCCGAGAGGGACTGCACAGACTACCAGCAGCTAATTTGCGAACTTTCAGTTTAAAACGCTTTAAAAAGGTTAAACTCGGAATGCAACGCGAAAGACAACGTCTTGCATCTTGTAGCTTTGTTACTAATGCGCGCGAGAACTGACGTCACAAAGCTCGTATGAGGTTATTGTAGCGAGTTGGGACGAGGTGAAATACTCTAAACGGCAACAGCAACGATGGGTTTAAAAAAGGCGCTGAAAGCGCTTGAAATCCTTGAGAAGCCAGAAGCCATATTTAACCGGAGGTTTCAGTGTAACCCATATTATCCGTTTAAAATGGTTGAAGGAAACAGTAAGTGAAATTAGCGTTTATCCCTCTGAAAGTGCGAGTGTAAGAATCGGTAAGCTGGCTTAAATAGGGCTGAAAATACCTCACCTGCAGAACTTTAGATTAAGCTTGGTGCATTAACTCAAAGTGTGATGTAAAGATCCAATATACTCTCAGCTCTTTCTTATCCTTTTCCGTTTTTCTTTTTTTGTGTGTATGTTTTGTTTTGTTTGGTTTTTTTTTTTTTTTTTTTTGTACAACGTTAAGAGCCTATTTATGCAATCAAAATTACCGGTTAGCAACTTAGTTTTGCAAGGAGGACGAACGCAGTTTTGTAACTGACTCTCGCTTCCTTTGTTCATTACTTATTTACGGTAGTATGCAACGGGTATTTTTTTTCTTTTCGATCAACGATTGGTTTTCCTGTTTATGGAAGAGACAATAGGAATAACTTTTCTTCAAGGGTAAAAACCATTCCGGGATGTGTAATGACTTTTTTTATTGTGCCTTGTGATTGATGTAGAAATCACTGGTTTCATTTGACAAAAAATTGTTACTTCTCTCAACTTGATCGACCTCATCTATTTGATCGTGCCAAATTAGCCAGCTGCAACTGATTCAAAGTTTTTATCAATTGGCAGAGTTCGTTCTTATTCTGAGTAGAAAACGATTTTACATTGGAACACTAACGGCTTTCGTTTCCATGGTTACACTGATTGCTTGGGGAATTGTACTGGAGGCCAATGTAAGTTTGTTTAGGTAATGAAGGAAAGCTAATCGAATATCTACGAAAGCAAAGAAGAAAGAGGTATAAGTTTACTGAAATCCTGCTTTTATTTACGAAAAAAAATCGATCACTTCAAACATCTCATCGATAACTTATGCATAGTTAAAAAGAGATGATCCAATCGATCAGCTAAAATGGAGAATAATTCCTTGTAAATATCAATCGTATGTTTCTTGCATTTTTGACCCTAGTAAAACTTAGTTGAAAATATCCAACTCTTTTGTCTGTTCTCTATTTTTTTACGAGCCTGTTGGACATGATGGGTCGATTTTTTTAACGTTAACTGATAAATTCTTCAATAACTTCTTTCTCACTATTACCAAAGGTAATTAAATTAGCTCAAACCTTGCCAACTTGAAGGAAAAAATTGAATTATGACTCCGATTAAAAAAATTTAAGATTAAATTCAATTTGCCAAGTCTTTTCCGGACGAGCCTTCGGCTAGACTATCTACAAATGTCCCATTAAAAGCTTTTTTCTTCATTTATACCAACTGAAGGTCAAGCGGCAGCATCTGGATAAAAATGCATCTTAGCTTTCGTTAAAAAAATAGAAAAAATACCAATCACTTAAGTTACATAAGTCAGATTATGTAACCACTGCAGCCTAACTGCTTAACTACTGTCTTGGGAGAAGCATTTTATGAAAAGAAAAATTATAATTCCTTTTGAAATTCAATTTTAGAGACTAATTGTACGTTATATACAAATGTTAAACCGTTCATGATCAGCAAAAGAATTAACCAAAAGCTCTGCTGAATGTTCCCTTTAAGCTTCATTCTTCATTCCTTTTCCAATTCGTCCTTCCTAAACCAACAAAAAGAAACAGGCATAAAATAAACAAAACAAAAAATCTGTAGATCTATAATGAATAAGAAGTAATTAGATCAAAAGTACTTTTGCAAAAATTCTTTAGCCAAAATCATTACCAAACCGTCATCTTCGGACGAAAGTTTTAAATGGTCATTCTGATAGTGTTAAAACGTTCACGTCCCATGTCTCAATCAACTCAATTTCCTTAAACGTTATTTGGCACTCTCGAGTCAATCTATTTCGCTTTCGTCATCTACACAAGAGTAAAAAGATTTTTTTAACATTTCAATAATCAAAGCGTACACGCCTACACACAGGTTATAGCTGGTCATCTTAGCTTAAACCGCCTTCTGTAGGTGGTGAAATGCTGGTGGTATTACTTGGGAATATAACTAACCTTTCTTCCTTAAAGTTAAATGTCACGTTGTCTCCAATCAGCATGAACGGAGCCCACTGGGAAACTTTGGTATAGCCGATGTTCCTCAGCCACTTCATGGCCTGGTGAAGACATTCACTGGCACTAAATCCGTCCACTAGGTGTCTGTAGAAACGTCTCATGAACTGCTCCGTTGCTTCGTCCTCTATGGCCCACAGTGTCACCAGCACTGAACGTGCACCGGATGCCAAAAANGTAACAGGGCTAGGGGAAAGGGCAATCTCGCCTCTGTCGGCATTACCATGAGCAGCAATATGAATCAGACTCACTGAACTAATTTCTTGAAGTATCGCCTCTCTTGTCGCACGCTCTCCTAACAATGGCTGAACACCCAGCAGTTGTCCGATCATCTCTGTTTCCTTTTCCGCACAGGCCAGTGGTTTAAAGTCATGGATTTTTCCTCTGTAATGTGCACTGCCCACCTTGGGATTTCCCACAACCAGTACACCAGTCTGACTGTGATAATCCACTGGGCAGTCCTGAATGAGCCTTAAAGTCGACAGAGAAGGGACGATGCGAAGCCTGAAGGTCTCTGATAAATACTTTCCGCCTGGTTGGTCGCGTAAGGCTGCAAATGGGACCCGATACAAGCTACGTTCGGGAACAATGATGATTTCTGGCTCGGTGAGTAGTTCGGCCACTGGAGCGATTATCAGTTTGGAACATACAGAAAGCATTGTTTCAGTGTCTTTGGCTTGATCGCCTCTCAAATCTGCTTCGCTTTCACTTAATATCGGCATGGTTTCGTTACAAGACTGATCCTCGAACTTCTGTGAGGGTAAAACGCCAAAGCCGCGGATGCTTTTGTTGAAATAACTATTCAAATCAAAACTACCCTCAGCCATGAGAGTTTCGTCGTCGACCTTTTCGGATTGTCGAAACACGGTGTCACCATTTGCTTTCAAAACCCAGAGAGAAACAATTCGACTGCTATACGTTATGTAGAGGAACACAGAGTTATGTTCTTTGTTCACGATCTCTTCCATCCCAGACCATGACTTTGGATCAGCAGAGATGTGATTTTCAACGGATAAGTTTCGTGCCATCAAGTCTGTTAAGCATCTAGCCCGTCGAAGCTCCTCGACATAAAGCGCATCTCGAAGATTTCCCGTAGAACATAGCAATTCACTGAGCAACTCGTAAGCCGAGGCTCCGTGAGTTTCTAAAAGACCTTGTTGAAACTGTTCATTTCCATGTTGAAAATCTCGCAGTTTTTCATATTTAGAAATACACTGATAAAGATGCGAAAGTGCTTCCGAGATCCTTGATTGCTTTATCCTCAGGGTCGACAGCAAGAGTAGGTAGTGAACCTCACCGCGTATTTCTCCGACATCAAAAATTATCACGCGGGCTTTCTCAAGGTATTCGTCGGCTTTGTCATATTTGCCACTACGTAGGAAGAATCCTGCTAAGCTTTGGTAGCTATCTCCTATCAGCGATCTGTTGCCAATTTTAATGCCGATAGCAAGTCGCTTCTCGTAATATTTTTTGGCCATCACGTGATCATTAAGGTAATCAGACACTCGGCCGAGGATCCCCAATGCATCTGCTTGACGTTCTTGGTATCCAATTTCTGAGGTAATAGAAAGTGCTTTCTCGCCATATTCTTTAGCTTTCGAATATTTTCTGAGCCCAAGATAAGTAAATCCAACCCTCAAAAAATATCGTAATTGTTCTGATTTCCTGCCAGATACTACTGCGATGGCGAGTGCTTTCTCGTTATACTCCTTAGCCTTCTGATCCTCATCGAGCATTCCAAACATATTTTCTAGGCTTAAGAAGCTTGTTGCCTCTTTGCTCTTACCACTAATTTCCATGCTGATGGCAAATGCTTTATCGTAATATTCTTTGGCCTTTTGATATTCACCGAGTGAGCTTGACACCTTTCCTAGGTTTCCGATGCAGCATTCTTCTCCTTCCTTATCACCAATTTCCATGCAGATGGCAAGTGCTTTCTCCAAATATTCTCTCGCCTTCTTATATTCACCGAGTGAGCTTAACTCAGCTCCTATCTTTCCGATGCATCTTGCTTCTTTTCCCTTATCACCAATTTCCATGCTGATGGCAAGTGCTTTCTCATAATATTCACTGGCCTTCTGATATTCACCCAGTGAGCTTAAAACAGTTCCCAGCTTTCCGATGCATGTTGCTTCTCCTTCCTTATCACCAATTTCCATGCTGATGGCAAGTGCTTTCTCGATATATTCTCTGGCCTTCTGATTTTCACCTAGTAAGCTTAACACATTTCCGATGCATGTTGCTTCTCCTTCCTTATCACCAATTTCCACGTTGATGGCAAGTGCTTTCTCGTAATATTCTCTGGCCTTTTGATAGTCACCGAGTGATCTTAACACAGCTCCTAGGTTTTCCATGCATCCTGCTTTTCCTTCCTTATCATCAATTTCCATGCTGATGGCAAGTGCTTTCTCGCAATATTCTTTCGCCTTCCAATATTTATGAAGTGAATACAAAAGACTTCCCGCTCGATTATAAGCATTGGCCTCTAATTTTCTTTGTCCAGTTGCTTTCAAGATTCTTATTGCGCTCTCAAAAAGTTCTTTCGCCTCTTCCACCTTTCTTTGCCTGCTAGTTACGATTGCCAGTTCTAGCATAAACCTCCCTTCTAGTTTGGTTTCACCAAAATCGTGGAACACGAAAAGAAGTTTCCTGTTGCATCTTTCTGCGTTTTCGTCATCAGACGCGTCGAGATATGCTTTGTACATTATATGATTGATTTCTACATAAAACTCTCTGGGGATTGGATCCTCCATACCCACTGCCGAATTTTTTAATAAAAGCAAACATTCCTTGCATAACTCAATTGCTTGTAGATAACGGTTAGTGTTTAGAAGAAACTCGGCAACAACAACACCTACATGGATGGTGTGTATGACTTTATTCATGTTCTTCATTACGGCTTTTCTCGTGCGTATGTCGGAGGATGGACTCTGTGTGAGAAATTTGAGAATAATTGAGTAACAAGAACTTCAAGGGATTTTTTAAGTTGAAGTGTTTTTTTACCTTTTAATTTGACTTAATTAAAAGATTGTGATCTGTATAAATAAGTAATAATTAATGAAAATATGTGACCTCCGGTGTTTCAGGACGCCATCGTCAACGTTACTGAAAAATGAAGTCAGCCTAGTTATATCGCTGTTTATGGATTGTCGATTGAGTAGAATGGACGAAAATTTACAAATTTTACTGGCATTTTCTTCCGGCTCCTTGGTTCTTTTATCATTATAGCTATTCAATTGATAACAGTAACACTTTCGCTCAAACCTGTTATAGCCACGGTAGTTAAATTGTTTCGTCGCTTTCTTCCCCATTATCAGTATAAATATTTCTAATCTTATTTCATGTAGTCTCAGGTTTGTCTTCTCTTGTTTTGTTGTTGTTTACTTTTTGATCGATTCCATAGGTTTTTTTTACTGACTAATTATATTTCTCGGGTTTACGCTCATTAGAGACAGGTTCAGACAGTTTAATTTTGGTCACGAGAAACCTCGTGACAAGTACAGCTTTCAATTGGTGACAACTCCTTGGACATGCTCTGAAATTATATTGCGTGACAATGCAAGAGGAAACATCGGCCTTAATAAAACAAAACGGTCAAAACAAAGTTCATAGTCAACAAATCGATTTTGGAAAAACCAAGACATCACGATATAGTTATTATGAGTTCCTCTGCAGATTGAATCTGATTCCAAATTTACTCAACCTGATTCTATCTTTCATCTATTTGATACATGCTTCTTCGCGAGCTCGAGGTAAACGTGAATCAACATAAACATCTCGCGTTCCTGTTCACGCGCCTGAGAAGCTGTCACTTGAGTTTTGGAAAAAATTGAAACAAAATTGTATAAGATAGGAAGAATAGGTTTCAATTCATCAGGCTCCTAGATTTGATCTGCCATATGTCCGATCCAACAGTCCTTTCAGTTGAGGCTGTGCCTCACATGTAGTGGCTAACCTTCGCACGCATGCCACTCCGGCGTCAGACATTTGCCAGAGTCATGCTTTTAATCCCGAGGTCCCAAGGGTCTAATGCACCTGGGATTTAAATTACAGCTCGCTGGCATGCGTTACAGCCTGTGGCATGCGTGAGAAGATGGCTCCCGGATGCGTTTGCAGAGGTGCGTTGGCATGCGTTACAGATCTGTGGGATGCGTGAGAAGATGCCTGTTTGCTACGTTTGCAGAGGTGAGTCACATCTCTAGGGGACTGGCCCGAAGAATGCAATATTGTAATCAAAACATAGTTTTATTTTCCTTTTGATAATCATTTCCTGACGGAAAATTGATTTAAACCGTCAGTATCCGAACAAGATTATTTGTGGGTCCGAATTTACTTTCAAGTCCTAATCTTTAATTCTCCCTTTTGGCTGCTATAACTGTTCATGTGAATTTAGTAATGAGGATCTAGTAATGCTCGCAAACTGATCAGTTTAATATATTTTCTTCACCCGTTGGATGCATGATCTATTGATATAGTAGAGAGATATTAAATGTTAATCAAATCTGGCAGTTTGAAAGTTCACTTGCAATCGTGACATTGATGTGAAAGTATCATAATCTATAGAGGTCTACGAAGATCCCTAAAAAACGGTTTAATTAACGGAATAAAAAACCAATGGTGTAAAATGTAAATGTTTCATAACAGAACATAACAGAAATAATGAATCAAAAATCGTACTCACCTTCAAACTCCTCCAAAGCTTATCGACCACCAGTGAATCAAATCATATCACTGAAAAATGAAAATAGGTAACCATTAGCTACTCAGAACCATCAACTACGGAGTATTTTATAATTTTGGAGGCATAAAGACGCCGTTTTCAGTGGCTGATGAAACCGAGGGAGAAAACTGAAATGATATCTGTCTTACATAAGAATATTACAAAAATCTAGAGACCAAAAGAAGTATAAACCTGACCGATTAAAAAAAAAAATTTAAAAAGTCTCTGTTGAACAAAATACGAGGACCTGTTGCAAGTTTCAGAATATTTGTTTTTATATCGTTTCCGACTTTGAGGTTTTTAAGTGAGACAGAAAATGTTTGTTTCCATTTGCAGGTATGACACAGAAAGTTTGATTTGCGTTCGTTATTCAACATGTTTTTGCTTGTATGATCGTTTTAAAATGCCTGCTCTTTTTATCTAGCCGATCTTGTTTTTTCTGTAGTGCAAGAATTATTATGACCTGTCAATATTTTTTAAATCAATTTCGGCAATCGAACGTCCTCAAATAAGTTTTCAACCGGCGAAAAAAAATGTAAAATGACGGGAAAGGGTCACGCCATGAAGCTGATAGCTTGATCGATTCTCATTACCTTTTTATTAGATTTTCCTTTGACATTGTATGGAGAACATACTTGTTAATCACTTTGGGAGTGAGATAGTTATTTTTTTATATCTTGAAGCGTTTAATCATCGATGTTACTCTTTTGCGGTATCATTTGTACATGGTCACACCTAAAATTATAAAAGTTATTTATATTTGTTTAAGTTGATGTAGGCCTGTAAATGGACAGTAAATAAGATCATGAAATTTGTATATCATCCGAATTCTTCGCCGCTTTTTTTTTATATTGACTACTCTTGATATCGAACTGGAAGGTAATTGTACATAAAACTTTGGAAAGATATCACGAATGAGAAATCGTACGTACCCTCAAACTCAGCACCAAAACTATTCCTCACCCAAACCAATCAAATCGCAACCGCTGGAAAATGTAAACAAAGTTAAATTATGCAGAACCATCTCAAAGGCACATGTTTTATCTTTGGAGACATGAGCAAGCCGCGTTTAGTGTTTTAATACTATGACTGGGGAAACCGAAGGAAAAATAGTTTCAGCAATACTTTCCATACAAAGAAATTATAATGCAGACTTCTAAGAATGGATAGAATACAAACCTTACCTGCTTAAAACAGAAAAAAAAAAGAAGTCGAGCGTTCTCCTTGTGCATTAATAAGGTTTTATTTTGTATTCTTTCAGAGGAAAAATGTTTTAAAAAAAAATTTCGCTTTCAGCGTATGACACATGCTAATTTTGGGCTTTTTACACTTCAGATTTGTGCCCCTTAAATAAAATGAGTTACGCAGCAGTCTCATTTTGACATTGAATACGACGATCAACAAGAGTGTGAAATATTCAATCGATCACGGTTCTGCTGCAGCGTAAAAAGTCTTCTTTTATTAGTCTTCACAACCTTATAGAAAGATGTCAAATCTAAATCCGACAATCTTTTCTCAAGGGCGAGAACAGAACTAGAAATAACCACGCCATAGCCATCACCAGTATTTCCCTTTTTTTTTCATTTACTTCTGAAAATTTCGCTGGATTTTCATTCATTTCAAATGAAGTGTTTTTTTTCTCAAGATTTTGAATCTGGAAATGCTTTGTCAATAATTTCTGATATTTTTGGATTGAAGTTTGTTTCGATTCGACTCCCCTTTAGATGTCCGCTACTATAGCTAATTCAAGCTACCTTACAAGTGGCACTGGTTATCAATTACTCACTGTTTATTCAACAAATGTTTAGCTTAGTTCTACCAACAAATGAGATTTAAGCTTCGTAGCATTTATTGCTCGAGTGAACCGCAGAATCTAGGAGTGAAATATGGTTTCGAGCCTTAAGTGCTCTTAAAGCTCAAGTATTTAGTTCTCAATTACAGCTGCTGTACAATTCCTTGCAAAATATTAAATAGAATTTGGTATAATCTCACTGTTACCTTTTAAAGCTGATATGATGAGCTGTTCTCATTCGTTGGGTACAGTATGAAAAAACGTAAAGAGAATTGAATTTTTGATCACAAATACTAACAACAGAGTCACTGTATTTGTGATACCTTAAGGCATGTATTTCATCAAGGATGTAATTCTTTCGAAATGTCATCAAAACATGTTCACAAATAAAAGTTTCACTCTTTAGAACTTCGTCACTAAAACAATCTATTTTTGCACCAATTGACGAGCACCTGTAGAAGGGAAGCTCAAGGGAGTGATACTAAATGTGTTCCTATTTTAATATCTTAGAACTGTTCGTGTAATAACAATTAGCGGAAAATATGCAAGACCTGATTACATGTAACATATTGTACTTACCCTCGGCCTCTAAAACTTTTCCCGCACCAAGGATTCAAATTACAACTACTGGAAAACGAAGAAAAGAGCGGAAGATTAGTTATACAGAGTCATCATTTATATTTGAAGACGTGCCGGTGTATTTTAAGTGTCCTGCTGATCGTGTGACTGGCAGTAAAACGAATTGCTTGAAAATGAAACAAGTCGGCGCGCAAAATAACTAACATATCTATGATGAGAAAACAGAAAGAATCTAACAAGTAAAGATAAAAAAAGATTTTTTTTTTGTAAACACTGGTTACCACCGAAGAAAAGTCGTTCAAATTGTAATGGTCATGTTTTTTTTTTTTTTTTTTCAAATAGTATTCGCTGGGTTAAATTTATCGGCCACGCGTGACATTTGTAGACACTTTGGTAACAACTTGATCGTTCAACTTAGTTGTAACACAACAAGTAATGTGGAGTGAAAAATCCCGAGGATTTGCGGGTATAAAACTTATTCAAATAAAACAGAAGTAAAATAAAAGCCGACGTGTCGTCTTTAAAATATCTGCTACTTCACACTGCACTGTTAGCGAATTTATCTGTTGGTGGAATCTGATTCTAGGCGATTCAACATCAATATGTCTGATTAAAGCGAATCAATTGCAAAGTGATCGTGTCGTGTTACATGTGATGTCACGCGACTCGTTTCAGCAGAACATACTAATGACTGGCCTTTGATATTTCACAATCAAAAGAATAAAACAAAAAAATGATTTTTTTTTTTCGGTGAAAAATTCCTTTCTTATGAAGCATGAGATTCTACGAAATAATTCTGCTCG